CTTATTGGTGCCTTAGGACATAACTAACATGAGGTTAAGGCTGATCCATCTGGCTTGGATCTTTAGCCGATCTCAAGCTGCAGCCTCTCTTTGAGGGTGTGGAGCTAGTTCTTATTGCAGTAGCTGAGTGTTATGTTAAGAGATGGTGTTTGCATGGACCTGGCAACTGAGGAGGGTTGGGAAGATCTGGGTGGCTGAGAGCTGGACCCTCCCTGAGCAGGCTTTGCAGGTAATGAAGGAGGGAAGCAGGAAGCAAGCTTGGTCTCAGGAGGGACGTAATTGGTCATGCTAGTCTTTGGGCTGGGGTTTCTTGCTTTTCCTACTATTTTTCTAGCAGACCTCTCCCCCTTCTCCACTGAGCATTGCTTTGAAAAGGCCTGGAACTGTCACAGTGCAGGCACTGAGGCTCGGCCTCTGAGGGGATCCAGGTGATACAGATTTGAGCTGAAAAGCTGCCTAGGGATGGGGAACAGATTCAAGCAGGACTCTTCTTTTGCAGCAGACACTGGACTATGTAATTTGGACCTTTTCCCTGCCTGTGCTGTTTGCACTGGGAAGATTGCTGTCGTAGCCAGAAGAGCAGAACTGAATAGTCCCTGCTGGGCAGCAGGTCAGGTTAGGAGGAGAGATCCCTGGAGATCCTGCTGTCCACCAGCGTTTGCCTTCCCCAGCCCTCTCCTGGGCAGCCAGCACAGCCCTGCAGCTTTTGAGCCATCACAACCAAGTTCTGGTCACGTCTCTGCTGCGAAGTCCCCGTGTGACCTTGGAGGGGTCATTTTTTTTTGCTGACGTCCCAGTCTTTTGTCTACAAACTGTGGAGACTGATGTAGTTACAACAGGATGGGTCGAAAGCCAGAACAAGTGGGCTGTGTGCTCCCATAGCAGTGGCAGCGTGGATGGGCCCCGTGTCCTGTGGAGAGCCCGTGCCCGGGTGTGCCTGTCCCTGGGCATGTGGAGGAGCAGCCCTGGCCCTCAGCGGGCTCTGGTGGCCTGCAGGCCACACAAAGCATGCTGAGCACGGTTTCCCCAGCTGGGGGAGCAGAAGGGTAGTCACTGGGGGTGCTGGTGGTGCAGGGGGCTGGTTCCTGCTGGCGCTGTGCCTGCTGCCAGCTCCTCCCGGCAGTTGGGGCTGCGGGTTGCTGCAATAACGAGTCAGCGTTTCTCTTGTGTCAGGGCTAATGAGCTGCTCTTCAGCGGCTGCCTCTCGGGCCCTGCTGGCAAGAAGCAGAATCTGTGGTGGAAGAGGGGTGCTGGGGGCAGGCAGTGGGTGCTGGAGGTCCTTCCCAGCCGTGGCTCCTGGGCAGGGAGAAGGCAGGCTGCCTGGGCAGGGCTGGCTTGGCTCTGAAGCGAGGCAGGCAGAGGAGCCTGGTTAGCAGCACACGTCTGCAGCGAGCAGGAGAGATGAGGGCTCATAAGTGGGGTAGCTTTTCTGCACCTGTCCCAGATACCTGAATAGCAGCAGTGGCCAGATAGCCCCTAGGGAGGGGTATATGAGTGGATGCATCAGATAGTCTCTTCAAATGCCCCATTTTAGCATATGGTCTCTTGCATTTAAAAATACCATTCTGCAAAAACTGGGCTTCTGTATCTGCCTCCCGGCATTACCTCAGATAAGGAGGACTGTCCTCAATTTGGTTACATCTCCTGGGTGTTTTGTGCAGCAGCTCTGGGTGTTGGTGTTCAGAGCAGGCACCTCTGTGCTGTGTCTGCACCCTCACGTAGCAGACCTGAAAGGGATGATCCCCACCCATCCCAACATCCTGCCAGCTGCAGCGTGCATCCGTGACCTCCACTCACTCCTTCCTCCATCCCTCTTTGCTGATAACAGGGAGATTTGTGAGACGGGTTTTCCGCTGAGATGTTTTAGGTTGTGTGGCTAATGTACAGAGCTGAGGAGGATGGTGAAGGGCTTGGGGAAATGCCTGGCTTGGTGGAGACTGGCACTACAATGAAGTGATTGCTGGTTCCTGTGGTGATTCCTCTATTTAGACACCAGGTCTTTCAGTTTCTGGGCCCCTGCTGAGAAACAGGGTATCTGCAGTGAGAAGAAGGAAATGCAAGACGACAAGGCCAAATTTTCATGGGTCTTCCTTGCTTGCAGTGCAGTATTGTTAATTCTGCTCCTTCCCATTTGGCTGCCTGGGGGCTGCGTTGTGTGGGCCCAGTGCTGGAGGCTGGGTTTGCCTGGGAGGTGTGGTGTGGGCAGGGGTAGAACTGCCAGGCTCCTGAATAGGCAGTGCCTGCTGCTGGGCACCTTGCCCGTCAGATGATGGAGAGCTGCTTGGAGCATCTGGCATGCATCAAGATACCTGGAATTCAGGTGCCTTGGGGGGAAGTGGTTGGGAAAGCGGTGTGCGTGGTGGGAGGAATTGGTGGGGCTGGTTTGCTGTTTTTGGCTTTCCATGTTGGGACTTTCCTTGAGCAAAATCCCAGTCCGATCTCTGTGCCTGGGTCCTTTGTGTTTGATATTTAACACTGGGAGCACTGGGAAGGCAGCAGATCTGGACAGGCAGCCTCAGGCCTGCAGTGTGCTAGACGGGCTCCTTGGGGAGCAGCCCTAAGGGTTTGTCTTTGCCCTGCCAGCCACGCACATTCTGCCTCCTTCCCCACTGGGGCTTTCTTGGGAAAAGAAATTGCTGCCTGATTTAGACTTCTCTTGGGCACATCAGGTGCTGCCCTTAATTGGCAGGCTAATTTCTAATCTAGTCACTTGTGCTTGCAAGGGAGGAAGGTGTCCCAAAGGGCCGTTGTGCCTGGCGGTCCCTGACCAGCCCTGCCTTACACGTGTGCTCGCAGCAGCCCTGTTTTTCACAAGGGCAGGTCCTGCAGACTGATTGCTCTGTGCTTGTTCTCGGCCGTGGGGAAAACTGCTTGCAGGCTGAGTGCTCTGGGTCTCTGCTCTGGAGAGTTTGGATTCAAACCTGCGTTCGTCGTAGGTGTGAGGAGTTGGACAAGCTCAGTCCCTCCCAGAAAGGGGCTGAGGCCTGGAGGCAAGTGACGTTCCTCAGCTGGAGTTGCAGTGGCAGACCTCTCAAGGTGAATGTGAGCAGCGTCTGCTTGGTTGTTATGTGGTCTTTGCTTTCTACTAACCTAAGGAACTGAGGAGCTTCCACTGCTTTTCTAGCAAATCTGCTATTGAATTGTTGTGGTTTCTAGAAGGGGGTGGCCTGGACCTCTTGTGGATGGCTGGCCAGGCTGTGCTGTGTGCTGCAGAGTTGCTTGGGCAGCCTAGCAGG